CTCTCTCTCTCTCTCTCTCTCTCTCTCTCTCTCTCTCTCTCTCTCTCTCTCCTCCGTTTTTAACATGGAGCACTGTTCTAACCTTTAACCAGGGGCAGGAAAAGATTGCTACTGCCCCCTGCTGGCCCATTGTCTTTTTTTTTTCTTTCTCTACAAATCTGACTTAAGAGGATGTCCAAAGATTTTGAGCCACTGAAGAAAGCCCAGTGGAAGGGGCTTTCCCTAGTAAAGAGGTAGATCCTTTGAGAACAGGCGGCTAAAATGAAATGAAAACATTCAAGAGGCGAGGAAAGCATAAAGGACTTCTAAATTAAATTACCGACTTTATGAACCTTTTTCTGTACACGGGCTTCTCTACACCAAGGTAATATCCCCTTCTCTTCAGCACAGGGCTTCACTTTTGCCTCTGGTTCCCACTGATAATAAGTGAACTACCCACACCCTTATTATAATTTCAGTACTCCAAATCCTGTTCTGTTTCCCTAATTTTCTTCCCCATGTCGAAACCTTATTTCCTTCTCTTTTCTGCTTCAAACTCCCGTCCCGCCCACCCACAGGCAGACTAGCATTTTCAGGAAGCTCAGACCCCAGCCTTTCTCACCCTCTCCGTCTCCCCTGACCTCTGCTCTCTCCTTATCATAATCTCGCTCACTTCACCACCCCCTTACTGAATGGCCACTCACTCTTTGCCTTTGAACAGCAGGCACGTCCCCACATGAATGCCTCTCCCCGACCCCCGCCCCAAGCTACTGAAAAAGGAAACATGCGCACTTCAGAGCTAGGAGCTGTCCGAGTGCTGAAATTTATAGGCTGGGTAAGATCACGTCTCCGTCTTTTTCTGTAGCCCTCATTCCAGCACAGGATCTCAGCAATTTCTCCCTCTTCCCCGCAAACACTCCAGCGCGCAGAGTCCTTTCTTCTTCCTCATTTACAACTTCTTTTTAAAAGAGAACATTTTCTAGAGGAAAGGGCTTTGCTAAATAGAAAGGATATAAAACAAAAGCCACAGCAACCCGACTTCCAGCATGGCATTGTCACCAGCCCCCTTTGCATGGTGATGCGATTAAGGTAGCAGCATTTTTATTATTCAGGAAAAGCAGCTGGGGGATTCATCAGTTCTGAGGCTTTGTCTTTCCTGGGCTAACTGATGGTCCTGAGCCTCGGTTTGACCTGACCATGATGCCCAGGACTGGCACTTTTTGTTTTTTCTCAGAAAACTGTACAAACCCAAATTTCTTTTTGATTTTCAAAGAAACTAGATTCCTGCTAGATTTTGAATCTGGACAATAAATAGATACTTTGTCCTAGCTTCTTTCTGGAATCATTTCGGGATATTTTCCACAAGCATCACAGAAACAGGAATGAACCGGCAGCTAGTGAACATTTTGACAGCCTTGTTTGCATTTTTCTTAGAGACAAACCACTTCAGGTAGGTGAAACGACTTTGCATGCTGATATTTTCCACATGAAACTGTTTGAAAGAGAAAGTGTCATGCAATTATCTATTTTTTCCTGTTCCCTGGATCATATTATTTTAATTTTATAGAGCAGAGTTAGATTTCTTTTGTTCATTTAAAAAGCTTAATTATGGTGGGAAGGTGGTAAATTTTCACAAAAGCAAGTTTTATGTTGCATAGCTGCACTCTGCATTTCAACACACATTTCCACAGCCAATGTGATATTAAGATAGTCTGATGAGTTGCATGTCCTTTACATTTCTATATAAGGTTGAGATTTTTGCTTTCAAATTCTTTTGGAAGTCATTTAAAGGGATTACTGGGTGCAATGTTTTTCATATGGTGGAGTGATTGAATTAATTTGTCGGAAACATGCTCATTTTATATAAAAATATATGAGAACCCTAATTCTTAGCCAACTTGGGACTTCTATTATATTTCTTCAACTTGAAGCATACTCTGAGAACTGCAATTCAGGAATTTTCTTGAAACATCAAATATCTATTTTTACCACAATTCTACCATTTAGTCTATTTGAAAATTGATTGCCTACCAAAATTTAATTAATATGACATCTTTGTACTTATGTCTGCATGACGAGTGGAGTGTGCATAGTTAAAATAAGTGAGAAATTATTATTTGCATGCTTCATTTTCTACCTAATTTACTAGTTGTCAAATCAATTGCTATCTCAAAATATTAATTTTATTGCCAGTAAATGAAATAGCCATTTAGTGGCAGAGTCTAAGATAAGAGATAGGAGATACTCTTATAATAAAGTATAGAACTCTACCTTTAATTTTCACCAAATTTTATGGTATTTTTTCACAGAACCAAGAGAAATTGAACACATAGAAATAATGCTATGAATACTGGGAAAACCCACTATGTTCCTTTCAGGTTCACACCTTCTACTATGATTAAGAAAGATTGTAGGCTGGGTTTTATTAGAATCATCATCATCATCATCATCATCATTTTCATCACTACCACCACCATCATAATCAAATAATACTTGATTAATCAGATGAATCTGCATATGGGAATGTGAGTATTTCTGGATGATTATATCAATTTCAACTCCTACCAAATGCTTATATCATATTTGCACTTAAATTCAATGCCTCTTCTTTGAAAAACTGGCAAGAATGTGGTATTTTCTTAGTGTTAGAATTAACAAGATTGTTCAACTATTGAAAACAAAGCTTTTACAATACATACTTTAGTGAAGAAATAAACATATTCAGTCAACCACTATGTATTTTGAAAGAATTTATTACAAACCAAATATGCTCTTCTTATAAGCTCTTTATTACTTTTGACATGGACATGAAAATCTGAGAGATTTTCCATTCAACTTTTAGTGCTTTTGATACTGAAAAAGACAAAATGAATTAGAAGTATTTCTTCATTAATGCTTTATTAGAGAGTTGAAAATTTAAGTATTCATATATAAATAACAACTGATAAATTAATGGAAGTAACAAACATAATCATTGTTGACCCATGTTTAAATGAAGTTAAAATTCCAAATGAAGTTTATCTTTTAGATATCACATTGGAAAATACTAATAACTAATAACTGAAATAGAATCTAGCATGTGAGAAAATAAGCAATATGATAATTAATTGCAGGGTTTAGTGTGTTCATCCTATCTTACATTTCTTATGAAAGGTAGAGGATTTATATTTAGGGCTGCAATGATGGAACAAATTTTTAAAAGCATGGGAAAATGATTCAAGTCATCACATGAATTTCAAAAATTATCATTTTCAATTCTCTGGTAATTCTACAAATAAATAGTTTTACCTAAATGTCCATAGAATCTACAACCTGAATCTATGTACATTGTCATCTGAAGCATATTATGATTAAAGTTTGAAAACTTGGGAGGTATGGATTTATGCTTCTCATCATGTAAAGTTAACTTTAGACCATATACAAGCTCAGAAGTTAACCAAAGAGTTTATATTTTTCTATTTTGTTCTTACTAATATATGAAATATCTTCACCAAAATGTGATACAAACATTCTATATTAGTTCTCAGCAGCTGAGAATGAAATTGTTTCTAAAAGAGTTAATGATGTGTTTAGGGCGGCTTTCTGCAAAGACCATGACTCCAGGTCTGGAAAACAACCTTCGCAGACCCTATCTCCTTCAGATTTCTTGGACAAATTAATGGGCAGGACATCGGGATATGATGCAAGAATCAGGCCAAATTTTAAAGGTATGTTCCACTTAAACTCATGTTAAGGCTTTGAGAAACACTAGGTATTTGAATAGTTTACTCAGGAAAAAAATTTCAGGCTTTTTTATTGCAAAACAGAAGCAACAAGTATGGTATTCATTTTATTTTAGCATTTTAAAAATCACTCAGTGATTTAAATATATTAAATTTTATTTGTCACTTGCCATACTTATAAACTTTCCTTGTTTGTGCTTCATTCCAAAAATAACACTAATGGCAGAGATTATTGCCACAGTCTCTATTTTGTCTTAAGTAGGAATGTGGATGGAAGTGAATACAAGAAGAAATGATTGACTTGACTTGTATAAACATCTACCAGGATGCATGACAAATTCAATGGTTACACCAAAATATATCGTTTTGGTTTTAAATATCAAATCAAAGTGAAGTTTAAATATCAGATAAAATATGACATTTTATACACTTTCAAGCCTTTCTAAAGTTTTAGGCTTTGTTAGAAGAGGCTCTAATACATCAGAAATTTTTGATTCCCACTTGTTTAAACATTTTAATTGCTTATTTGAAATTATTTATTCAGAAATAACAAACATTATAGAATTGCAAATGCATATGTAAAAGATGGTAGATAATTTCTTTGTTCAATTAGAAGCAAATGGAAGTTTTCTGTTTTTGTTCTACATTACAAAAAAAGTACTTAATAGTTTGTAGATACTGTTTTATCATTTGGTTTATTTTTACTCTCAATAAAAAATGTACTAAGAACAAATTATTAATAAAAATTATTGTGATGTTTTGTTTTTAAATACATATTTTAAATGGCAGTTGTCATTTAGTTGAATTGAGCATAATGTATTATGAAGCATTTATAATATTTTATAAAAGTATAAGCCTATAATATTTTAAATGTTGTGCAGTAATTCATGCATCACTTTGATTTTGCATATTAACAACTTAATTTCATTGCTTTCCTTGAGTTTTGATTAATTTTCATTATTGGAAAATATAAGCATGAAAACTAAATTATAAATTCCTTTCTTTTTAAGTGCTACACGTCTGAATATATCCAGTTTTGGGCACATTTCATAAAGATATGCCAGAATTTTGGCAAAACAAGCACTTTTGATTTTAGAGATTTCCAAGAAACTAAGATGAACTAAGTTTAGAGATCAATTTTCCTGAAAAAAAATCTTCCAGTTCATCCCATTTCCTATAACTTTGTGGTCACTGTTTTAGAAGTCAGTATTTGGAATAAAATCATATGAGTAACAAGCCAAGAATCAGCTTTCAATGGGATTGCTCATTCACACATTTATTCAATACCTTTTGAGTCTGAACTAATGGCTGGGTACTTTGGAAAACTGAAATATGAAACAGGTTCGTGTGCTCAAAAAATTTCAGGGTGTGGCAAGAGAAGATGTTACATGAATACTACAGTATTACATAGAAATAGTTAAGTACTCTCAGGAAGTATACATAAAATACTATTGAGAAATGGAGAGATAATTTCTTATTAAGCTATTCATGTAAAACATCACAGATAAGGTCTAGAGACAGCAAACTGTTCAAGTTTATGAGCATTTTTGTTTGATAGCAGTTATTACTCATTGCTCTCAAGAAATAATTCTTCAAAAGTGCAAAGGATAATAAAACAAATACCTATGTTGCCATTGCTACTTTACATGGCCACAGAATGAGCCATTATTCCTAGTTTTTTTTTTCTGACTATTCTGGGGATGTCATCATTTGGAAATGACATTTATCATGGTTCTAAAGGATACATGAACAACAAGAAGGTCAAGTTTAGCAAAGCATGACCACATTTTTGCAATCAATCTACTACATGAAGGCCTAAGTATAGGATATTTTAATGATGATAAAAGAAAAATGAGATGGATATCACTTAAGATTCTAAAATTAATGAACTTCACTGACTTTTATCTCCCTGTCCCTTTAACTCTCCACTTCAATGAACACTGCTATTCCTTCATAAACTTTATTTATATAGCCTTCATTCTGGGGAGTTTGATTTTCCAATGTAAAAGATTCCTCATTATTTTAGAGTAAAATGAATTTCTTTGCTTGGTGTTCCCATAGAACTTTATATGTCTAATAAGGTCATTTTACATATTTAAGTTTGATAGATTCACTCTACACTATATTTGAGAGGTCAGGGGGGCTCCTTATTTATATATACATGCATATGGGATATTGTGGTGTAAGGGAAAGAAGTCATCTTTTTCTCCAGAATGAGGAAATAAGGACCAAAAAAGAGTGAAATGAAGATCAGTTATGAAGATTAATGCTTCCAATTAGTTGTAGTAGAAGTTGAGGGTGAGAAATTTGGCAGTAGTCTTACAGGTGAACAAAAATGATCTTAGCTAAACTGAAGAGAAAGATATAAAAGTCAGAGTTAATAGGGAATTTGAAGCAGAGGCTTGGAAAATCACTATCATACTTATCATAATTATTTAGCAATGTATAAATGACAAATTTTGTATAGTAGGCAGAAAAGAAGAATGATTAGTATATGTAATTGCATCTAGAATAGTGGTAGTCTCCCTATAAATGTCCCAAAGCAAATTTGATATGATAATAATAAACATGATAATGACAATGTTTACAACAACAGTGATTAATAAGTAGACATAAGGACAAAATTTGACCATAAGAATAAAAGCAAGAGCCAAATATTGACTGCTGAGGTAAAGATAATGAATATTCTAGAAGTCTTATTAAATATTAGCATGTTTGTTTTCCTTGTTGCCAGCCCTTGGCAAGACAGAAATAAATGTATATGCATAAATTTTTATTGAAAAGAATTTTTCTGCATACTTTCAAGTCAGTAAAATATTGTCTGTCTACTCTATATCCTTGATGGGCTCTGAAAGATGTCATAATGGGCATATATACATGAAAGAAGATGGATGTAAGCTAGAAAAAGAAACCAGAAATGATTCAGACTTAGGCTCTGTAATTGAGAGACATTCTTAGAAACTATAGGAAAAAAATAGCTTTTTTTTTGATGAGCTGATACACAAGTGTATAAACAAAGTCATGAGTCAGAGTTGTCGACTGAATTCCATCTATAAGGGCTATAGAGACATGGCTCGAATCTTATCAAAATATAAATTTTCACAATTCCCAGTTCAGATAAAAATGCAGCAATGCCTGCTCACAATTACCCAGTCAAAACACATAGTAAATGTTGATTCTACATCAATAGAGAAGCTCCTTTCCCCTCTTTGGTGATTTGTCTGGTTTTAGTTGATTTATCATGGTGTTATTCCACCATCCTATCAGATATTCCTTTGTCAGTATTATTGTATCTTGAAAATGTCACTTTAAACATTAAGTTTTTAATTGAAATGCTCAAAGCTGGAAAAATTCATTAGCTCTGTCTCTTTCTTTTTGAAACAAAGCTTTATCTATTTTAATGAAATTTTCCTTGAAAATAAAATTAACTTAGATTTATATTCTGCATTTCATCCCAATGTGAATAAATATGTTTCACTATGGTATTGTTTTTGGCTTAGGACCTAGAATAGATAATACCAGGAGATAATTATTCACTCCACTTCTTTGAGCATGCCATGCAAACTAATTTTTCCACATCTAGAGACCTAAGTCTGAAAGTATGATGTATGGCATTAAAATCTACATTTGCATGTAAAATGGTTTACAGCATATTAGGATACATTATTATAAATTACCTTGCAAAGTACATATAGAATGCTTATATATATGCAATTTTCAATGAGTTAGTATCTCAAGAAGTTTTTCAGGCATAAGTAGAACTAGTTTCTCTTCCATGAAACCAGAGGTTTTCAGGTTTTGCCCATTGGCAATTCTTTTTTTTCTGTAGCTAAGTGGTGCTGAAGTTCAAATGTGAATATCAACCCCTGTAGCGAGTGCTTGAGCATGTGTCTAGCAGGGACACTTGGGAAGGAGGCTTCTCTTATAATAATGCAGCCCCAGAGTGACCATTTATTTAATCATTCTGGGGGACATGGGTATAAGACATTATCAAAGATCCTATGAAAGAGAAATGGACAAGTGGAAGCTAAGAGGAAAATGGAAAAAACTAAACACGTGGGGAGAGCTCATGAAAATCAAAGGGAGATCAGCAGAATAGAGTAGATGAAAGGAACCAAGGGAACAGAAAAGTAGAGGGAAAGGGGAAATACTGGAGTATGATATTGGCCAAATTTTATTGTTATATTGTGTGTGGGTATGAATATGTAACAAAAAATGCCATGATTATGTACAACTACAATGCATTAACAAAATAAGGAAAATTCTACTTTTAAAAAAGAAAGAGGAATAGAATTTGTATCTGAAGCATTAGACTTGAGGGCAGAATATAGTAGAAAGTCCTCAGGCACCTGAAAGGGTGAAGCAATGGTCATGTTGAGATTTGTCATTTTATTAGAATCTGAAGAAAACAATTGGCTCAATTATAAATCACCTTGATCAACATTTTGCCTTCTTCATAGGGGAATTCCTATTCTGTATCTCCCTTAATTAACCAACAGGTTTGAGATAAATTGCCCCTTAACTACTGAGATGGGAAAAAAGCAATGAAACAAAACCAATGTTGAAACAGAGTCATTGTTAGGAAGTATAAAGCAAAAGGAGTTTTCAGATGTTTATAAATGTCAAGCCTGAGAGATTTGTCTATTGTGAAAATTTTAAAGCTTATAAATATAGCATATGAGTTTTATCTTTTGATTATGATAATAACATCCATTTCAACAGGCCTAGAACTAAGCCTAATTGCAAGAGTCAACATTTACGTTAGGGAAAAATTGTTCTTCACTGAATACAAGGTGATAGCTATCAGTGGGGTTGTTTTTTGAAGAAACTAGAAGAGAGAAAAAAAAAGGAGGAAATAAAATTTCATGACTGAAAGAAGAATGGATTTGTTTTAGGATACATTATTATAAATTACCTTGCAAAGTACATATAGAATGCTTATATATCTGCTTTCCAAAGTACATATAATATGGAGAAATATGCAT